AACAATCAGGCGACGCGTCCTACCGAGCAGTTTTGGAGAAGTATCCAGAGTTGCCGCAACCGAAGCACACTCTTCCGTGCACAACCAGCAATTTTATGCATCACGTCACAACCACAGGTCCACCTGGGGCATCCAAAGCGCGCCGTTTAGCCCTCGATGAGCGCAAAACGACGAAAAGCGAATTCGACCACATGCTCCAACTGGGCACAATCAAATTGTCAAACAGTCCTTGGGCATCGTCATTGCACATGGTTCCAAAAATGGATAGCAACGACTGGCGTCCAACCGGTGAATACCGAAGGCTTAACGCCAAAACAACTCCGGACTGCTACCCGATACCTCACGTTTACTACTTGACTGCAACTTTATGCAGAATGAACATTTCCTCCAAAATCAGTTTGGTCAAAGCTTACAACCAGATGCCTATGGCAGCAGAAGATGCCGCGGAAACGGCCATTATTACTCCTTTTGGCCTGTTTGAATTCCTGCGCATGCCATTTTGTCTTCGGAATGCAGCACAAACATTCCAACGCTTTATGGATGACGTCTTCCGTGGTTTGAATTTTGTTCACGCCTACACTGATGACTGTCTAATTGTGAGTCCAGATAAGGAAACTCACCTCAAACATTTGGACCTCGCATTTGAAAGACTTAAAAAACATGGCATCACGGTCAACTTACAGAAGTGTGAAATAGGAGTTGAATCACTCAGCTTCCTTGGGCATACCATTGACAACAAAGGTATACGCCCATTGACGGATAAAGTGGCGGCTATCACGAACTATCCAGGGCTGACCACTGTGAAACATCTCTGCACTTTCAATAGCCTAATAAGTTATTACCGAGGGTTTATCCCCAACCGTGCCTCTGTCGTGAGACCTCTCACAGATCTACTTCGAGGAACTACGAAGTTGGTGACTCTGAACAACTTGGCTAGACTTGCTTTCTCTGGAGTTGAGTAAGCCACTCCAACCGCAACCATGCTTATGCATCATGACCCCAATGCTCCTTTGAGTATTGCTGTTGATGCATCTAACTCAGCAACTGGAGCAGTTTTGCAACAGTCGACTGACAACCAGTGACAACCGTTAGCCTTTTTCTCGAGGCAGCTGCAAGACGCGGAAACAAGATACAGTACATCTGGTAGGAAACTCCTAGTTATATACTGTTCTGTACGCCACTTTTGACATTCTGCGTAAGGTCGTAATTTCACTGTTTTCACAGACCACAAACCGTCAACCTTTTCCCTCAGCTCGGCGTCTGACAAATACTCCCCGCGTGAGTCGTGACAGCCGGATGACACTTCCCAGTTCACGTCAGACATCCACCACACTTCTGGAGCAAGTAACTCCGTAGCCGATGCACTATCACGAATAGCTTCGACAAGCCATATCGGAGGCGTTGATCTCGTTGAACTAACTCGGCGTCAAAAGGAAGACCCTGAGCTGCATCATGAGTTGTCGTTCACAACTCTCAAGCTGCGACTTTTTTCTGCTACAATTTTCTGCGATGTCTCTGCTAGTCAACTACGCCCAACAGTTCCGAAGAGTTGTCGACGCAACGTCTCCAGTACGTTTCACAAACTCTCTCATCCAGGTGTACGAGCCACCATTAGGCTTATTGCGCAATGTTTCTGCTGGCCTGCGATGAACAAAGAATTTAAGGACTGGGCTGAGTTGTTCTTGGCTTGTCAAAAGTGCAAGCTCATGCGGCGCTTGAAAAGCCCCTTAGGCTCTTTTCTAGCCCCAGACATGCGTTCCGACCACTTTCACATAGATATTGTAGGACCCCTACCAGAATCTAATGGATGTGCCTACCTTTTCACCTGTGTTGATCGTTTCACACGATGGCCGGAAGCAGTGCCTATCAAGGACATTACCGCTGAAACAGTAGCTCGTGTTTTCGTAGAAAGATGGATCGCGAACTTTGAATGTCCATCTTACGTCACAACCGACAGTGGGTGCCAATTTGAGTGTGGATTATTTCACGCTGTAGCGGCCGAAAGAGGGCCCTCATAACAATTAGGGAAATTTCTGTCGACATTCTTCTTGCAGCAGATCTTTCTATTTTCTTCTAGCAGCTCGCGCTTACGGCATCATCTAGGTCTTTCCAAACAGAAAAGAGAGACAGAAAGTGGGACCATCTTGTTTTTAAAACTACTCGCCCTTTTTGTTACTGTCCGAATTTAACAGTTCCACATTATTATCTACACATTTCTTTCATCTTTGGGTTGTTATGTCCACTCTTTGTACACTAGCTCTAGATCAGTCCACTTCCATACTTTGATGGTCATTATACCTAATAATGATGCACTGCGCATCCCCTAGAAAGCCCATCGTTTCTGAATCAAACGATTCCCATTTCTTTGTGAGCACTAAGACAGACTTCTAGCTATACAACTTATGATGTTTCTAAAACGCCACTTCCTGGGTGGATTGTGCATTATCCTTCCGGCTAAACATAAGTTGATGTGAGATTGGTTCCATCTGGCCCTGGCTACAATCACAGATGAAAGTAACCACAACGTAAATTGGCCAAGAGTCTTCAAAAGGACTGGGAGCGAAGGTGGGTGGAGTGGGTGGGAGAAATGGAGGAGGCTTCAGGATTGAGTAACACCCAATACTATTGTTACTGAAATCACCGAAAAGGATAAGGTGCTGGTAATAGGCGACCAAAACGTTGAGCAGAACACTTTGAAGCCCAGTTCGGGTGACCATCAAGCAACGCTTCAGTTGGCCAGCATTCAGCCAGTCTGGACCTCACCGGGACATAAGTGCCGGTACTTCAACTTTTCCAGAAATTGAGTAGGGTGTTCCGAGCATGAAGGTATATAGAGCAGCAGGACCTGCCAAAGTTTGTAGGGATGGGTGCAAGAAATTACTAAATAGGGTGGCAGAACTACTAGTTAGTGTATCGGAACCAGAGGTGGTGCAGTCAGACTGGTCCACTTCAACCATTACCCCAAGCCGTGCGAGGGGAACGAAGAAATCCTGCGGCAAACATGTGGGAAATAGTTCGATCAGTATCCCATTGAAGACTACAGGATCCGTAATTACTCAACGCCGAAGTGAACTTCGAGGACAGCAAGCTCAATAAGAACAGGCAATTTTGGACCTGGATGAAGGTGGGTCGACCACACTTTCTACCTGCGAGAGCCTCTGCAGAACAACCCTACTTACCAGTGGCTGTTAGTTACTATATTGGCTGACCTAAAAGGGGCATTCAACTTCGTCTAACTTTAGGCACCAAGGCATCGTCCAGGTGTGAAAGGAAATACCGATCGAATGCAGGTAATCAAACCCTTTACTCAAACTCACGCAGCCATGCGGCTGCTAATAGATAATTACTGCAAGGATTAATAACAACGGGTGGTGTCCACCAGAGATGCCCGCTGCCACTGTTCTTGCTTAACTTCGCTGTAAACAAGCCGATCGACGCAACTTTGGGCACCTCTGACCTCAGGGAGTTTGCTCTAATAATAATAATAACAATAATAATTTCCCCTGAATACGCGGTCACACACCACTTCAACGGGCATGAATAAATTGGTGTATAAATTACGTGTATCTTTATGGCAAGTAATCTCAATCCCTACCTATCCTGTCACTAAAGGATATAAGTGCAGCACGTTTAGAAAACGATGCTTCCCAGAGGAATAGGTATGAAACCTCTTACAAGTTAGACAAGCGGAAGTGTTGTCTACGCACCGACAAAAGGCCAATGTTTGTATTTGAACGTTACATGTACTGCATAGGGAAAAATAAGGCTTGAAGCTAATACTTCCACTGTTACGCCTCGTACTTTTTGTCAAGGAATAATGATGAGAAGTTCATAAGGGACCTAGAGGGATCCCTGGAAGTCTTATCTGGTTAACTTAGAGTTCACAGACGATATTGTCCTGCTAGGCCATGACGCTGACAAAATTCAGGGTCCTCTGAAAGCGACGAGGAAAAATTGAGGTGCTTGGTGTGTCTTGCACTCTCCAAATGTAAGATGAAACTCCAGAACCAGGTTTTAACTACTCCAAATTTAAAAGGTAGGGGGCAAAGTGGTCAAGTGTGTCGACGCTTTGCCCTACCTGTCAGGCCCCATCGGCTCAAAAGGTTTAGTTGCTGGCGAAATCCCAGCTAGGATACCGGTTGTCCGTTTGGAATTTGCGATTTGTATAACCTGTGATGCCAGCGAGGAAACATACTATTTATCGTATAAAAAGGATGCTACGTTGCTGTCCATTCCGTCTGGTTAAACATCCCCTGGAAACGCGGTCATTAAAAGTAGGAGATATGTAGTGATTACTTGGTTTTGATCAAAGATGTCTTCTTAGCATTGCTCACGTTTAGTGTAACCACCATGTAAGCGATGTTAGGGTAAGGCAACAGGTGCTAGGAAAGACAGTCAAGTCGACTGATGAGGTCATAAACGTCAGTCTAATGAGATGGCTTGGAAATTTGTTGCACATGACAAGCCACCACCTACATCACCGTGCCACGCCAGGAAAAGTTGAGTTAGTTCGGAAGGGGGTGTCAGAGTGGCCAGACGAGACTTGACACCAGTCAGTGAAGTCCCTGACTATCGGTCTGAGCCGTGGCTGAGGTACACGAGACGAAAGGAATCAGAAGTAGAGGGTTATTGGTGAAGTGGCTAGAAATCTATCAGAATTGTGCTTATCTATGTATTCCTTGGCGCCTTCTAAAGCTTGGGTATTTTCACTAGCTGTTACCTTCAAATTGTTTATCACTTAACACAGCTTTATCCAGTTGGGTATCACTACATTTCAGGAAACTGCTTTTTGTATACTAATGTAGACTGTGACAGCTTGAATAGATCGAGTTGTGTATAGGTACATTGTACAAACGTTTCTATGCACTTCATGTTGAACATTCTCCTTTTGTTTTAGCTAACTGATTTTCCGTAAATTTTGACCTTAAAAATGTTTTGTTTTTGAAAAGCTCTTTAATTCCTGCTCGAAATATGTGATTTTAAATCGTTAAATATAATCGATGGAAGTTCATGACAAGGATTTTGATACATATATCGAAGATGAAAAACAATCCAGAAATATATCTTATCTAAAACATGGAGTCAAAACAGATACTGCTACAGATCTTCCAACATGTTTATCCAAAAGGGGTGACCTCCCCCCTTTACAACGAAGTGAAAGGCGAATGTCAACTCATTCAGAGAAAAAGTCAGTTACGTTCTCAGTTTCTGGGGGTGAGAGAAGTAATCATATCCTTAATGGTAAGTTGCATGTGAAATCGTCCAATTTTAATCAGCTGGTGTATGAACGTTTAACACATACTTTTTAGTAATTAGAACTTTTTAGACTATTTCATATTAATTTTCAACATACATTAACACAGTACAGTAGGTAGATTTATCTTTTCTTCGGTAATACATGACAGCTACCTCGAAGATAAAATGCCAATCTTTCTATCGTTCGGCTTCTCAGTGGTTGTATAATATGCATCAAAAGAAACCCCTTCACTTACAAGTTAACATTTCCATCCTATTTAGAATTATCGGTTAAATATTGGAAATGAATGGGAAAATATATTTGCTTGGAAATGCGTAGTTCGGATTACCTAATTGAACATGAGCTCATTATTGGCTATTGCATCAGAAACGATTCAGGTATGAACGTAGGATCAAAATTCCAGGTTTTTATTCTATCTTGAGGACATAAAGCTATGAATCTATGTTATTCTTTTTGGAACAGATCTTTATTTGTCAGTTCCTATCTTGAATGGGTTGGCCCATACTGCAGACATTACTGCTTCTGAGAGTTAACTTTGATGCACGAATAGTTATACGACCGTGATTGAATTCTTTTTTGAATTTTATGGTTTTTCCCTATGTTCTCTGAGGCGTTGCAACCTGGTGGGAAGGTGACCCAAACATAGTTCAGATTGAAAGTCATTTCTTGAGATTATGTTTGGCAAGGGTAACTTTCTTTTCTGTCTAAGATTCCATTCGGAGGAAAAGTCTGGCTTTTCAGATAATTCATTGTGGGTCAAGGTGGCTGTATCATGAACCATACCGGTGAACATCCTATAAACGTCTTGTATAAAGTTTGGGAAAACTTTAAAAATAGCTTATTAACGATTATATGTTCACCGGTTTGTTTCTGAATTAGACTGTGTATAAAGTGGTGAATATGTCGCTCGTAATTACAGTACAATGTTTACATGTTGCCTTAAATCTCATAAGGTCTGAGTATTGATTTTTCAGAGACAAGTCGTGGCTTTTCAACTTTATATGACCCCCTTGTCATTCTGGGTCAGTGCTGAAAGTAGATGGATTTTTACCAGTATCGTTGGTGTTGCCATCTGCACACTTTATACTCCCATCAATGTGCTTACGTAGGCTAGTATTTATCAAAAATTTGACTAAGGAGGTAAAAATACTTAGATGTGTCAGATAAGTTTGTTGAAAATTTCTGTTTCTTAAATCTCAGATTTTTACATCATCAGCTAGGGAATCAGTGGAGGTTTTATGGACCTCTGTATTTCAGCAACAAACAAGAGAAAAGGCTGTGACCCAGGAGTGCACCATGGGATATCTCACTTTATGAAAAGTTCCCGGAGAAAGGCAAGGAAATGATACTCATCTTGTCTCGTACCAACAAAGAATCTTTTGACCCACATAGGCAGATTGCTAGTGTTTCTGAAACTTCCAGTTTCATGAAAACTTCTTGCCAAAGTTCAGTAGCATATCGCTTATGGGCTTTTTGTTACCCTGAGACTGATAACCAAGAATTTTGATGTTGCGACGTGTGACTAAAACTTTATGAAAACAGAAGCAAGCTAAAATTAAGTAAAACGAACGCAAACAAATGAATGAAAATAGAACAAAAATGGCAATACTACGTTGTTTGAGAAAAAAACAGAACTGAGTAAAAAATAGATATCGTAGGTATAAAAAATTCAATCACTTCAATAAACGTATATGTAGCGGAGTGAGGGGTGATTCGCTTCTTCAGATTCTTATCAATAAATCTTTCACGGTATCATTTATTAGATTAAAAGATGAGATTTAGAGATTTACTGATAAGAATCTGGAGAAATGAACCACTCCTCATCCATTGCAGTTCCTAAGAAAATCCTAACCATAAACTTAGAATTCAAAAGAAACATATGTCTTTAGAACAAATCGGGATACCAAACTTGCAGGTGACTACGATCAGTCTTTCTCAAAGCATCCTTCTAATGGGGTTCTGAAGTGAGCATATATACGGCTGTTTTCTTAGTAGACATAATAGTCAGCAATCAAGTTCACTTAGACTTCAGGATGGTAAGCTGATAGTCTTCTGCTTGTTTCAAGACAAAATTCTAAATAATCCATTACCGTGACCAATTTGTTGTGTGAGGACGTATATCTTTCATTCACTGAGCGGTATTTTTCCTAGCTAGTTATTTTGTCTTTTTTGTCATTTTAGTAGGTGATTTGTGTAGCTTAATTTTAGTGAGCGACAATTACTCAGCTTTGGCTTTGTTCAGTCTCTAGGACTAGAGTTACTTATGTTAATGTTGAAATACAGTCGTATAATTGAAGTGTTGGGAGATTGGTTTCAAAGTTGGCATGGTTTTTGACTGATGACATATTTAAAGTAACGTGTTTTATCTACATGTGCAATGGAGTGTCCCTATAAACCTTTTTGATGTTAGAATGTTAGTAAGTTCATTACAAACCCTGAATGTATTTATTATTAACCCTTTATCAGCTGTTAGATAATAGATGAGTTAATTTTTGCTGTCCTCGCAAAACTTCTGTTTTTCGGATTATTTCCTGTTAGTTGTATCTACTACAACAAAAGCTTTCTTGGTTGTCATGATTTTTATTTCACAGTTCGAATTACATAACCCTATAATATTTGTGTTATGACTAGATTTGTCGCTGCCAAACCTTACGTCATGAATAAACTACATCAAGCTGATTTTTCAGTATTTCAGAACAAAGCTGTTACCTTTCTCAACATTTGGTTTGGAAATATTTATAAAAAACCAGTGTTTTTTGCCCTGGTATGCTCGATAAACTCATGATGCAGACAGATTACAGCCAAATTATTAGTTGTCGATTTCATTCCAAAATGACACAAAGTGACATAGCCCAACAAAAAAAGAAAGGATGACTAAAAATGATCTAGACTTTAACACTGTATTTGGTGAAAATTGGTATTTTCTTGTTCGTTTCATAACTTGTGGGATCTTCTGATGTTTAAAATCAAATTTACTGACCTGCCTTCCATACCATTAATGTCTCATTCAATCTTGTACATTTTCAAACATATATCAATATGATGATATCTGTAAACTGGCGTCTCTCATGTTAAACTATTAATATGAGAATAAAATATTTATTATTATTATCTCAAGACTGTCATTCACGTGACTGTGCAAACTCCAGCTCTTGATGTAGTGATTTAATTTTGGGTTATCTGAGAGTTCAGGAGCAGTTTGATAGGGACCATGGTTTAAAAACGCGTATATTGACATTATGGTGACTGTATCTTCATTTGAACAGATGAGTTTAGATGGTCTATTTCCTCGTAAATCATTTTTGACACTAAATTCATGTAGAAGTAGGTGACAACTCAATTTTCTTTTTGGAGAGAAATTTCAGTGCCAAAGTTCTTTTTAGTTCTCACTTCCTTGTCTATTTTATTGAAGATTTCATTACACCTTGGGTTTTAACTATTCTTCTGTTCATATGTTTGTGTCTAGCAGAAATTCATGAACTTGTGATATCACCTCAAACAGAGGTACAAGCGCTTACGCAATGATTATTTTCGGCTGGTTTTTGCAGCGAAAAATGTTTAATGGGTCAAAGAAATATTCAGTTTTGCTACTATCGAATTTTTGATGCAGACTTATGTAATCTTTTTCTGAGATGGAAGGTCGAGGTTTTAAAGATGATACCAACTTGTACAACGTTTTGATCAAAACACTGAAAAAATTTAGAAAGTGCATATTTGCTTTCTATGTAGCTTTACCAACTCGCACTTAATCTGATTGTTTTGTTTTCAAAAGTAGGCTGATCAGTGCGATATTATTTTCATGCAGAGTAACTTATTGTTACGCCTAACAATAATCTTTGCTCATGATATCAGCTTTCTTATACTTGTTTTTGTGTAATGCAGTAATGTGAACCAAATTTAGTGTAGGTATTTTGCTTATTTTACATACTATAAAACCAAAATCCAGTCAGAGTATCTGACTTAATTTAGTTCAGATTACTGCATTACACAAAAACAAGTATAAGAAAGCTGATATCATGAGCAAAGATTATTGTTAGGCGTAACAATAAGTTACTCTGCATGAAAATAATATCGCACTGATCAGCCTACTTTTGAAAACAAAACAATCAGATTAAGTGCGAGTTGGTAAAGTTACATAAAAAGCAAATATGCACTTTTTTTTATAGTAATTACATAAACACGACCGATAGCTGCTACCTTGACGTGGTGGTCGGGCTTGCATATTACAATGACCCAACGAGCTATGCTGGTGGAACGCTTGTTCCCTCGAAGTCCTACCAATTGTCGTTTCTTTTCGACCATCCGACCCCAAAACAAAAAAAGTTCAAAATAATCATACTCAAAAGGCTTCGTGTGACAGGCCTCAAGCGGATGTCCGATGGGCCCTGCAGTCACACAAATCTCTTTCAGGTACCTTAAGAAGAAACGGCCTTCCACGATGTGGGCAGCCGGGAAATGTCAACCGCCCTCACAACTCTGTCAGCACTCAAGTTTCTTCTGACTGCTATCCACCTCCTCCATCATCATTACCTTCTAATCTTCCTTCACGTCTCCTAATTAGTGATGCTGCATCATCTTCAATTTCTCCTACCTCTGCAGCATTTGACAACGATCTGAGTCCACAGAACAGCATTACTGGTCTCCTTAAACCATGCTCGAAATTACATATCGGAGCCTTCAATGTCTGCACCCTCCATCAAATTGGTCAACAGGCTTCATTAGCAAAGACTCTAGCAACTCGGGCCATGGATGTGTGCTGTGTTTGTGAGACACGCATACAGGACCCGAGTGTAGTTATTCACCTGACCTCTCCTGACCAATCTGGTGAATCCGTAAAATTCACCCTTCGAGTTTCTGGAGATTCGATAGCTAGCTGTCGTGGTCCTGCAGGTGTAGGTATAGCATTAAGTACTAGGGCATAAAACTCACTACTAGACTGGATCCCAGTTGATAGTCGCCTCTGCTTTATGAGGCTGAACGGCAT